CAGAGGATGGATGACATACTCCACCTCAACATTGAACCAGCACATGATGGAAGTACCCCACACGCCTCGCAGCACAACTCACCAGAGCCAGGGCTAGGCCCCCAGGACTTCGCATCACAAGTCGGAGGACCCGCATCTCCGACACCATCACTCCTACCCACCTATGTCCCTCCCACTTGGGAATTTGATGGACACCAATTTGAGCATCTAGAAGATGCGCTCAGGCAATCCACTCCAGGAGAAGTCCCTGACCACATCTGTGAATGGGTCATCATCGCAATGAAGCTTACAGTTCACACTGAAGTTGCAAAGGTCTACAATGTGCTAGGCAACAAGCTATACGAGCACAAAAGAGCCTTCGACGTGGTCATCCAGACCAACAAGAGCGAACACCAATTGAAGGAGGCAGTCCTCCAAACAGAAATCGGAAAGCTCAAGGAGAGGATCACCGTGCAAGATGCACATATGACAGTTCTCCATGATGAGGTAACAGGAATACAGGATGCCCTGATAGACATGGGTAAAAAGATGATGAAGCTAGGCAGCAACAACACCAAGTTGTGCCATGAGTTAGCTTCACTCAAAGCAAGCGGTGTCACAATGGTGCAAGGTCAAACATCGGGCACGGTTCAAATGCACAAACTCCGCATCAAAATTGCTGAACCTCCACACTACTCAGGCAAAGGAAGTCTGGAGGACTGGCTCCAACAACTCAGTATATGGATGTGGTGGAACGAGATCAATGACGACGAGCACAAGATTACCATGGCCCTGTTGCACTTGGAAGGTGGAGCATTCACCTACATGTCTAAATACACAACAAGGGCAGCAGCACGGCAATCGCTCGGTACTTGGGAAGACTTTGTCAACATTCTCAAAGTGAACTACAGGACCCTCGACCTGGACAAGGATGTGCAGCAGCATTTGAAGGAGATCTGCAGCAAGATGTATCCCACAATGGTATCCTTCGCAGAAAAGTTCCGCCAATGGGCCACCAAGACCAACTTGGGGCACACAGCACTCATCGGTTATATCACTGAACACTGAGACAAGGACGTCCATCAGGCAATGATAACCCATGACAGCTTAGGAATTGCAGACCCAGTCACATGGCTGGAGTACCTTGATCTATGCTTACAACTCAAGTTGAAGTTCAGAGCTGACAAAGCAGGACAGCACAGAACAACGGCATCATCATTGGCACCACGAGCCCCGAAGGACCCTAACATGATGGTTGTGGATCGAGTATCCACACTCACCAAGGAGCAAGAAGGATGGCTGAAAAAGAAGTTGTGCGTACGATGCCGGGAACACCCCTTCATATTTAAACAGCACTGCCTGGACCCCAAATATACAGTATATGGTAAGCATTTCTAATTAGAGAACGATTTTTTGCTTAGGACTCCATAGGAAGCTCCACCTCTGTCTAAAAAGTCTGTGTTTTGCGACGAGTGTAAAACCGTTATTTGTCGGAAGGATCGCTTCGCACATAGGTGATCATTCCATCCTCCAGTTGTCGTCATCCAATACTTGGACAGACGATTCTGACAGTTCATATGTCGTAATCCCACCAATGGATTGATTGCCTGTCAGCGTTGTGGGGAGGAGACACATTTAGAAAGAGTCGCAAAAGTATGTATTCTTACAGTGCTTCATGATAACTGGCAATTCTCATTCTCCTGGTTTCTTAGAACCATGCTTTGTACAGATGCCCGATTGCATTGTTGAATACGGAGGTCAGGGGTAACAACGACCCTTCCATTTTCTATGAGGATCTGTTTGGGGTTCCCCCGCTCGCAGTCCAAGCCGGTGCCCCTCCGCTCCCTGTGCAAGCCGCCTCTCCAGCTTCACCAGTGGTTGATGGCTCAGATACAGACAGCTCATCTACGATCTTCTTTACCCCGAATACCTCTTCTAGACATCGCACTTCCACTCCCATTGCGGGGCCATCCAACACGTGTTTCTCCAGCCCAGTTGCAGGCCCATCGCATCAGTTATTGTCAGACCCAGTTGCAAGCCCATTGTCTCAGCAACCCTCAAGCCCTAAGGCATGATTGAGCTCTTCCGGAAATAGTGAAGCTGAAGTTAAACGCGAGCTACTTCAGTAAGAAGGGGTCTTAGTAAATCGGTAAGTAGCGAGTGGGTAAATTGAGACGATGCGCGCTGACAGAATGGCAGCCGGATAGGTATGGGTACTCATTTTGGAGTACAGTCAAGCATCCTCGGAATCGGTCGTGAGACGTGGAAGTGAGAGTATTTCCAACTCAGATGAAGAGATGTCGTGATCTCCACCAGTTCTCCTTGCTTCTTGTTGCTGTGTTCTGCTATCCATCATATTGCTCCTGTATCGCTAATTTGTATTCAACATGCATATACCATGCATGCCCCATCATCACATTTCAATTATGGCATATGGATGCAGAGTTATCATTCATCTCAATCCTGCCATCATTAATTAGGAGCCTAGGGCTCCATACACACGATGATATGTTAGGAAATACAGACAACAGCAGGTCGAAGTCATGTTCAACTCTGAGCTGAGAATACACGGAGCATAGGATCAGATTTATCCAAGCATGATGCAATGTCGAAGGTGAGATTTTCGTTCTCGAGATGCATATGAAAGCATCATGCAAGGATCGTCCATCCAGAGAGTGCACTAGAAAAGAGCAAAAACACAATGCCCAGAGTGAGGGCATGAGTGTTGGTGAACTCTACAGCTGACGAAGATGAACTGGTGGATGACGGGCTGCCACCGCCTGCACAATCGAATAAGTCAGTCAGTCGGCCTCCCAAACATGCTTAAACATAACCACCCCACCCTTGAAGTAGGTGTAGTGAAGCCAGACATCGTAATAGATGCAGTCTTCTCTGGCCCGCTGATTGTAGTGGTATATGAAGTGATGGAGACAATAATTTCTAATTGCGAGGGGGATGGGCGGCTATCAAATGAGGATAAGGCAAAGACAACAAGAGCACTGGTGAGGTCAACCATGTATGGGAGAGAGTGCCAGTGCAGGCCATGCACCCGAGCAAGAGGGTGAGTTAAAACTAGATCCAGATCCACCAACTGCAGTGGACAGTTCGGCGAAGCCGACGGATGCAGGGCTGGAGCGGAAGGTGGTGTATACATTTTTCTGTAGATGATATCATACTTAGTGGACATTTACTGAGGGTCTAGACAAGCCGACTCACCAGAAAGTATCGCCAACCACCCAGGTAGGATCACTGAATCCAGAGACATGTGAGCCCTCTGACAAAATAAAGACATTGCCCAAGCAGGGGTCACCCGAAACCACACCAAGATTCATGTCAGCCGAGTTAACAGGCCACTCCTTTCCGCCGAAGGGAAGTGTGACATTCACCATTGCCAAACATGCTATGAAGCAGTGGAAAGGTCAACGATGGAAATAAAACTGCTCCTATATCGTCACTCACAGAAAGAATAGTAGCCCTCATAATCATCTTCCAATGTGGCCGAGCCAGTAATCTTAGCGTAGGTGTTCTTCACAGCTGATTACTGTGCGTGAGCGTGATGTCACAGCGTCTGTGCAGAATGTGATCAGTTACAACTATCAGGGCGTATCCGGCGTCCCAGGCATGGGCCACTGTGACATCATCCCCGCATTGCCACACAACAGTGGGGAAGAGTGTTTCCATTACACCCCATATGTGCAGTGCAGCACTGGGAAGTTGACAGTGGAAGTGCAGAGGTGTGCGCACAGCCACCTAGAAAATTTACGACGCTTGCGCACGTGACCTGGCACTTGCCTACTGTAAAATGCACTGCCTCGCTAGGGATCTTCAGGAGCTGCAAGCGTGCCCTTGGTCATGCCGTCATTCAGACGTGAGTAGCCTAGTGTCACAAAGCACCAAAGCACTTAACCCAATTAAGGGCAAGTCTGCTTTTGTGACCTGCACAAATGATCCCACATAAAAAGCCTGCCACAAGGGCTAGGCTGAGGATGCGTGCAGTGGTATGCAGTCTGGAAAAGGGGCTCAAAGGGCCCTTAGCCTTATGCTCACAACAAAGGAGTGAATTGGCTGGTTAGGCCGCATACAATAGAATAATGAATCTAAGGTTCTCCCTTAGATCCTCATGGGCTTATATACATGTAGGGCAGGGCCCCTGGCACTGCGCTACTGTGAGACCTCAGATACCTACATGTGAACATATTGCCAGAACTGGTAATGGTTCTGGACTTCGTCATAGCAACTATCTACAATGGCCGTGGATACGCCGAGGTAATCCTATCTAATCCAATGAGATAAATGCCTGTAAGTGGGCCCACTGTTGAGGGGCCAATGGGTGATGGCCAACAGAGCACATCACAATGGTTGCAACATCAGATGAGAGGATCTGTCCAAACTCAGAACAATGAGTGTGATGATCAGTCTTCATCTGGATAGGGTTGTGAGAAGATCTAGCCTATCCTGTACCTGGCTATACTGTATGCCAGTTGGTAGGGGGATCCTCTGTTGTGGTATCTG